GCAAGTCAGGATTCTCTGCTTTTATGGTGAAGGAATGCCAAAGGAGAACCGAGCAGGAAATCCCAGCAAGGCCTGGCGATCCTGGCAGCAGCCAATGGAAGACCACCCTGCTGGGAGCAAAGCACACCTGGGGCAGGTGGGCCCATGGAAACCCACCTCTGCTCAAGAGGCTAGCGGAAAGGTGACAGCCCGCTAGAGAAACAAACGACCCTGAAGGAATGTGAGCANCAGTGACTGCAATGGGGTATGGGGGGGGACTTGATAATACGGGTGAATTTAGTAACCACAATGGTTTTCATGTGAAACCTTCACAAGAGTGTCTATCAATGATACCTTTAAAAAATGCCTATCAAAGATATCTTAATAAATAATTAATAATAAAAAACTTAAAGCATGTGCTGGAATAGCAAATTCAAGAGTGATTTTTATTTTTATCTTTTGTTGTTGTTATGGGGTTGTTTTGACAGTAGAAAATTATTTTAAGAGTAAGTTTTACCAACATTCCATTTATATATTTCTCTAAGATTGGAACCTCTCAAAACATGGATTAATTTCTGACTTAAGTCTATATCCTCCCTTTGGATTCATATATCACAGAAAATCTGGAGAAAAACAAACAAACAGAAATGCAACCAAAGATAGTGTGCAATTTTCTCTTATAACTGGACTCCCTAATAGAGCGATCTTTAAAGTTTACCAAATGGGGCCAGAAAGTTCTACATATGGCTTTCTTCTATGCACATGGCTTGACCTTTACTTATTTCCCCTGAAAAGACGCAAAAGAGCCAAATACATAAACACAGAACAGCAGTCTTCTGGCAAAAGCCAGTCTCCCACTGCACACAGCCACACCCTGACACAGAGACACACACCAGCCCCGTCCATCCTTGAGCTCCAGCTGATCAGACTACTGCGATTTTCCCAAAGGTCCCCGGAGCTCACCCTTTGATGTAAGAGTGGACCGTAGCCACAAGCGGGGGTGACTCAAAATCTGCCATCTCCAGCAGGCACGCCAACCCCCAGGCCAATGCTCTCTTCCTTGAGCTCCCAAGCAGGGACAGGAGCAGAAAGGAAGTTACCTTGCAGACAGCCGCCTGGAGAACTGCGTCAAAGCCCCCCTCGGGGGCATCACGGTTCCGGGACACTCTCTGTTTCCGAACTTCCTCGTTGAAGCTGTCAACTCTGTCTGTGAGAGACAGTAGATGGCGGAACCCAAAGGAGGGGACGCAGTTTGGGAATAATTTGTAACTAGAAAGAAAGAAGAGAAGAGTCACTTGCCATCATTGTCTCTAAATCTTAAATAGCTACATACTCTGTGCATTCACTGAGCGCCTGTAGCAGCACCAGTGAATATTTACCCAGGACCTACAGGTGCCCCTGGGATGGCACAGAGGGGAGAAAAAAAGAGAAATAATAACACAGCCCCTGCTCTCCAAACATCAAGCCTTAACCTGCAGGCAAGATGGCACATCCCAGGTTGTGAGTGAGTGGAATGGACAAATGGTGCAAAGTACTAGAGATAACAGTGGTGACCATGGTCAGAGGAAGATGTCATGCAGGCAACCTGACTTGCACCGTGAAAGATGCAAGGGACAGTTGCTACGGGCACCATGGCTGAGGACATATGGTGGGAAGGCTCTTCTCGGCTGAGGAAGGTGGGCAATGTTGAGTGAGGGCAAGATGAACAGAGGTCCTCTAGGAAGCTGGCTTCTCACACCAGCTGTGCTGCTGCAGGTGCCAAGGGACACAGAGAAGTAAGTTTTACCAACATTCCATTTACATATTTGTCAACCTACTCAGAGACCACCACAGGAGCAAATGCTAAATGGAACAGGAATGAAATGTTCGGCCTCTTCACCAATCTATAAATACGGCAATGGTAAATGCTCTCCTAGACACAATGAAAGTCACCCAGAAACTATCTTCAAATGGAAAATTCTATCTGGAAATTTGTAAAGAAGTGTCACATCTCAGTAGTAGGTGAATGCCATGTTTTTCTCCTGAAATATTGGGTGATCTCACCTTCAGTCTGTAGTAGAGATACCAAGTGGCCCCTTTCCTGGAGGAAGTTAGATCCCAGCTACAGAGTTAGATTTTCTGCTTGATTTATAGCCAGTGAAATAGGAAGAGAGGGCCTTACATGGTTTCACAAATAGGTTCACTCAGTAAAAGGGGAGAGGGAGGGAGCATCCTGGCCAGAGAGAAATGCACATGCAAGAGCCTGGTGGCAGGTGGGACCCCAGAGGACCCAGTGCAGAGAAGACCAGTGGCGCAGCAGTGCCAGGGGTTAAGGGCAAGGACGGGCCAAGAGGCTGGGGAAGAAGACTGTGCAGGTTTGTGGCCCTGTGAAGGAAGCCTTTCTGATTTCAGATCAAAAGGTGAAAAACACTAAGAAAGAGGCCTGGGTGAGTCTTTATGACCCAATTCAAGCTGTGTGCATGGGAGAAGAAACAGGCCCAGCAACTTCTGGGGGATCCTGCTTTGTTGCTGCCAAGAAGTGGGCGCCAGGGCAGGTGTGGACAGGCTCCTCTCTTCCCCAGTGGAGGCAATCTTCAGCTTTCTGAGAGGCCATTCCATTTTCCTTCGGGATGTACAGCACCTGCTCGATCAACCACAGTCACTCACAGCAAGCCGGCTCTGGACAGTCCTCCACAGCGGCCACGGTTCCCTCCGGGCAGGGGGCAGCAGCTACAGGCCCTCCCCACTTGCCTTTCCTTTGTCTCCCTCCACCCTCCTTCCCAGATCTTCCACTGCACCTTGTGCCTGGCAGGTCAGACTCTCCTATGACCTGTACCTCTGGCCACCCAAACTTTTCATTTTGCCATGAAGTGAAGGGTCATGGAAATTACATTCCCAGCTGGAGGAAGGGACTGAGCCGAGGTCCCATCTGTGGTTACTGGACAAGTGGATGGGCGCAGGAGGAAGTAAATACACACAAACTCTCACTTCCCTCTCTCTGCCTCCAAGCAACCACACCCTTCTGTGTTGTTCTGGTCCCTGATTTAGCACTTCGGGTGTGTGTTTATTGTCACAGTTGATCAAGCTGGTTGAGGAAAAGTGTGGAGGAACAGAATACTAATTGCCTTTCAACGAGAAAACCAAAAAAGCTGTGAGAAGCTCAGCTAAATTAGCTCTGCATTTTTTTTTAAGTTCTTCCCTTTCATTCCTGCAAATAGCAATATGTAGATACATTTTTACTGCAGAGAATTATTACTAAGTAAGCAGGAAGTGGAAAACGTTTGCCAGAGAGAAATTCTCATTGCAGAGAATTTACCATAACCAAACCAGTCACCTTATCGTCCTCTTTGGCACACAGATCCTGTTGAGTGTCTCCATCCTCACTGGAATACAGTGTCACCTGAAATTAGTTATTCAATTGAACCCCTGGAAGAGCTGTCTGAATGACCTGAAGGTCTGAGTGTCTGGGGGTCTCATGCCTGTATCAAAGGGACCACACAGGGAGCTAGTAAATTAGGTTTATGAACCAGGAAAGTAAATAAAATATATATGTTTATAAAATACATAAAGAGCCTGGGGAACATGTGCATATAAAAAATGAATCAAATTTGGAGACACTAGATGTGGGCAAATCCAGAAAACAACCGAATGTTCCAAGGCAATACTGCGGATCCACCTGCCATGGAAAGAGCTTCCTCTCATTATAAACCTATAGAACCGCTGGATAAAACATAATGTTTTAAAATGTGAATATGTAGCCAAGACTGGAAGCTGAGCAGGGAAATTACAGGTCGCAGAAATGAAGAGCAAACTACTCAACCAGTTAATGGACCTCAGAGACTAGGTGGGAAGGGAGCAGAAGCTTATGCCAAAGAGCTCACAATGTGTCAGGGCCTGAGCAAGGTCTTGCGGGCCTGGGGCAGGGTTCTAACAAGGGCGGATGCTAAGCCTCAGGCCGTGCAAGGCCGAGCGCTGCACTAGGCCTATCTGCATAAAGCTGAGTGCCACAAAGCGCTGCCCTGTCACTACAATCAAAACTAGAAAATTTCTAGTCATTGGCCTGGGAAAGAAGCGAAGAAGATCCACTCTGGGCCAAGAGTGAGATGAATCATGCATAAAAATTCTAACTCCAGGCCTGAGCAAGTCAGGATTCTCTGCTTTTATGGTGAAGGAATGCCAAAGGAGAACCGAGCAGGAAATCCCAGCAAGGCCTGGCGATCCTGGCAGCAGCCAATGGAAGACCACCCTGCTGGGAGCAAAGCACACCTGGGGCAGGTGGGCCCATGGAAACCCACCTCTGCTCAAGAGGCTAGCGGAAAGGTGACAGCCCGCTAGAGAAACAAACGACCCTGAAGGAATGTGAGCAAATTTAACAAACTGAGAGATCTGCAGTTCAACAAATAGAAAAGAATGACCTGAAGTACTTTAAATCAAGGATATTTAACACATTCAAGGACAGGAAGGAATAGACACCAAAGACCAGAACAGGACACTATTGGGGAGTCAGGGGGAGGTCAGAAGGCTCTGAAAAAAAAAATATTATGAAAACAGAAGTCTTGAAAAAGAATCAATTAAAAAAACGGTCACTGAAATTCAAAAGTTAAACATCAGTGTACAGACTGAACAACTGAAGAACAAAAGAGTAAACTGGAAGAAATGTCCTACTATGTGGCTAACAGAAAGAAAGAGGTAGAAACTATGGGAGGAAAATTAAGAAACATGACATTTAGAATGAGAAGCTCCCCATACACCCAGCAGTGTTAGGAAGAAAATGAAGGGGATAGGAGGAGTAGAAGAGAATGTCTGAGAATCTTCAAGAATAAAGATGTATTCTCAGATTTAACAAGCAGACCAAGGGCTAAGCAATGAAAATAAAAGTCAGTCCAACCTAGACACGTTGGCATGCATTTCATTACAGAATGAATAGCACAGGAAAATATTCAAAGCCACCAGAGAGGAGGGAGACCATTACAAGACAGCAGAAGTCTCACTAGCCACAAGATAGGCCCAACTACAACAAAGAAACACATTTCAAGGTGGCGAAGGAGTACTATGACCTTTTGGAAGAAATGAACAAAGGGTAAGAAAAAATATAAATGATGAAGGATGAAATCTATCAGCTCACTTGCAGAAGTTTTTACATAATGTATTTACATTTGTGTGTGTGCAGTGAGAACATTTAATACCTACTCTTTAACAACTTTCAAGTATACAAGTACATATTTCAAGTATCGTGTTAACTATTGTCACCATGCTATATGTCAGATCCCCAGAACATATTCCTCTTGTAACTAGAAGTTTGTACCCTCTGAACAATGTCTCCCAATTTCCCCCATGCCCCAGTTCCTAGCAGCTACCACTCTACTCTCTGTTTCTGTGTGTTTGGCTTTTTTGGATTCCACAAATAAATGAGACATGTATGAAATGCATTTCAACCACTGTACAATACTTCTAACAAAAGAAAACGTGTTCAGAACCAGAAGTAACACTCTGGATTAACCTTCAAATCCGATACTAGTGAGTATCATGGGATTCTACCCAGTGACACTATTGCTGGTACTCAGAATGGCAATTGAACAGCTCCTTAATCTGATGATTAAGTTACTCCATATCTTTTTTCTTATTATGGCAGCGCTGGTACTACTTATGTCTGGTATTTCTGCTGCATTCTAAGGTGGGAAGAGGTGACTCTAAGATTGATTCTTTGGCAGAAACATCTGGAGCAGAGAAGAAAGGACAAACCTCAGGGAAGGCCCATGAAAAACCAGCTCTCTTTTCTCTGAGATGTCCTGCAGGTCGAGTGCCTCCTCCTGACTTCCCCATCTCCCCAAACCTACTGGGGGCTGCTTCTGCTGTTCCCACCACCACAGGGGAGAGAAGCATCTACCTGAAGGTGCCACTGGAACTTGAGACGAACGCTGTGCCCTTCCTCTTCACATTAACTGAAGGAAAACAGTGGACAAGAATCACAGACAGCGTCTGCCAACACACTCGGAAAGTAAACAAGGCCAGCTGTGAGACAAGAAGGAGTGCTAGAGACTGTGGTAGCCAAACAACATGTGGGACAAGGCTGGCTTTACCAGACCTCCCAGTTTTTTGAGAAAGCTTAGAAATCTTGGTTATTCTTTGTTAAATCTTCTATTTCTTAAAGGTTGGTAACTTATTTATAGTGCCATTAAAGCTTAGGCAAAAAAAAGCACATGCAGGCTGGCCTGGGCACAGGAACAGCCACCCTGCAGTGTTCTCCCCAAGGAGCAGTGGTGCATCTGCAAGGAGACCCAGGACTCTGCACAGGTCCAGGCGTCCAGACAGGAGGTAAATCTCAGCCTGCTCACTGAGCCACAGAGTGGCTCACCAAAGCGTTACACAGTTTAGAGAAGAGGGATCTGTGTAACTTAGACCGGATGTTTCCTGCAAAACTCCCATTCGTCATGGATTTCCTGTCTTACCTGTTTTTCAGTGTACCTCACTGCCAAGACTTTTACTGTCCACAACTAGTTCTGCCTTCTAAGGCTTAGAAAAGGAGCTCTGACTAAGTAGTGTGTAATAACCTTGAATAAGCAAATGCTGAGTGCCCAGAGCCAGTCCTTCATCCTCTGCCAGCTTCCAATCTTGCTTCTCACAGTAAGTGGATGGTCCTCAGGAAAATGGAAGTGGAGACACAGCCTGCCTGTCTGGGCCCCATCAGAGGGCAAAGGTGAACAGAAGCAGATAGAATCGCAATTCTGGACAGACTGAAAAAAATTTTAGTCAAAATGCTGTTGTCTCTGCTAAGGAGCAAAACTCCAACAACAGTGCCTGCGGCCCTGGGACTGGGCTAGAAAGGGCCTCGGGGACAGGACAAAAGTAATAATAATGTCAGCGGCCACCTGTGGCCAGGAGGACGCTAACCCCAGCAAATTTGACACCTAGTGCCTCTTCACGGTTAAGGAACTTAGAATCTCATTTATATTTAAATTTTTTTCTTATCTTACTGTTTTTTCCACCACTGTGTCAGCTCCCAACCCCTAGTGAAGATCTAAATAAGCTTCTGGGAGAGTAAAGAAACATCAGGAAGGATTCAGAAGAACATGTATTCCCAGCTCGAATACTACCTCACCCTAACCACCCAGCCCAACCCAGGGCTGGGAGCTGTCGAGGTACCAAAGGTGAGCTGGGGGTCAGGCAGGCTCAGGGGCTGCAGAAGGGGCTCAGGGACAGCCAAGGAGACCAAGGATTGAAAAGGACAGCAGAGGATGGAAGGTGCCTGGGCCCAAGTCACCTCTTGGAGGAGAGCCGGCACAGAAAGCAGCCTGACCCGCATCAGATTTTATACAGGAGAGGAGTAAACTGTCACAGTGCTGGGCCGCTGCAGCACAGCTGCGCATCACGCTGGGGCAGGACCAGGAGGGTCAGCTGGTTTGGGAATGGGGCTTAACTCAGACGCAGGTACAGCATCTGTGTGGTGGTGTGGTTCGAATGGGGAGAAGCAAGCATCCTGTTAATGGAAATGCAGACTCGGAAGTAGTTTGTCTGGATTCTCACCCCAAGTCTACCCATTCCTAGTTGTGTCATCTTGGGTATTTAAGCCTCAGTTTCCTCATCTTTAAAAATACAGCTCACACCTACCTTAGAGACCTCAAAAAATTGTTATGGGATTTAGATGAGACAATCCATATGAAGTACTTAGTATGGTGCCTGACACTTAGTAAGAACCTAAGCCTTAGCGATTTCTTATCTAGGGACTATTTTAGGGCCTTATATCCCAAAGCCTAACTAAAGTTGAATGTGGAGATGAGGCAAGAAAAAGTTGGAAGTTCCACTCACGTGGTCACACTGCACCATCCTGACATTTAAACCAACCTCATACTGGTGTTAGGGTAGGTGAAGGATGTGACCCCCCACCCCCCACCCCAATACACCGTGGCAGAGACCCATTCACCAATCCCAGTTCCTCTTCCTCCCAGGCACAGATAAACTAGCTCCCAGGCTCCATGTGAGAACTCAGTCCTGTCTGATACACTGGCCGCTCAGTCCTAGCCCGTACGGCGAGCATCCTCCTGGCATGACGACCTGCAAGGCCACGTGGGGAACATGGAGCCCAGGAGGACAGAGCCTGGGTCCCCAAGTCACTGCTTGGAGGAGAGATGTCCACTGATCCAGAGACCAATCTGGATCAGAAACGAATGTCTACTGAGTTTGAGCCTCTATGTACTCCTGGGTTTGTTTATTGCAGCAGTTAGGAGCACCTGTTTTCTACTAATTTGCCAAATATTTCCTAATTCAAGTACTTATGTTAGGAAAAAAAACATACCTTTAAAACACGGTGTTTTCATTTCATTTTGTCAAGGTAAGGTATAGTTAGTTACATAAACACCAGCGACAGACTTTGAATTCAAATTCGCTTATCCTAATGCATTTCAGTCACTCCACACAAGGGGAAAGTCTACCTATTCTATCTGCTCCCTCTCCCTGGGTCCATCACGTTCTGACAATATTCTCTAAAATCTACTAATGTAGAAGGTGGGGCCATCAGAAAGGCAGGAAATCAAATGAGTTATGATCATCATATCTTTACATAATCTTGCAACAGTTCATTTCTCCACACACATGGGGAAGCCAGAACCGGGTCATAGTTAATCAAATCACACATCTGAGCCTGGTTCCCATCCTATATGCACCTTCCCTAGGTCCCTTCTTTGGCCTGAGTTTTCCTACTACTCCATTCCACCACCCTTAAATACCCAACGGAAGGACAGCTGGTCACTTACCCAATGCACGGATTGGTCTGGTACCTCGGTGCCGTATAGGAGAAAGGAGAGATGTTTTTGTCTACAAAAGACCCAAACCCCAGCCGGAAGTTGCTGGTGAGCTTCCTCATCTCCTCGGCGAGCTTGGTTCCCAGGTTCCGGATATTGTCCAGGTCATCCTTCATGGACAGGGAGAGGTCCATCAGGTAGTACAAGTCCACGGGGTAATCTTCCACCTGTCGGACCTGCAGCTGGAAGGCAGTCTTGTCGCCTGTGCCAACAGAGAGGCCGTGCGCGTTACAGGTCAACCAAACTGCTCCCAGTTTTTGCTCACAGACTTTGCTTTCAACATTGGCCAGTCTTTTACTTTTCTTTAGTAACAGTGTGCCTCTCAGAAACCTTTTTCCTGGAAGCAGAATGACTACAGGGGCACGGGTGCTGAGGATGAAGCTCTAGGTTCTCCCTCCAAACACTTGGCTCAGCATTTTTATGGAAACTCTTTCACAACTAGTCTCCTCAGTGGTGTTCTGTTTTCTTGGCAAAAGAGACTCCTCTTGGACAGTGCACCAGACAATGCTATGGACACATGCTGGGTGAGAAGAGCCCACCAACCACATGCCAGCTTCAGAGAAAGGACGGGAATGTGGCCGGGAGGAGATTGTGTGAAATAGGAAATAGGGAAGAAATTAATAAAAGGAGGATACAGACATGAGTGGGCAAGAACTAAGGTGGGGAAGAGAGAGACGTACAAGGAAGGGAGAGTAGGGACACAAAGATAGTCACCCCTAAAGGGTGAAAATATTTATGCTTAGGCCATGTCACCTATTTCCCAGCCACCTACCAAGCAATATATGCAGTTCTTGGGCAGATTTGACATCACAGACAACTGTCACTATTATCAGAAATCACAGGTATAAACACAGAATGAGAGTCCAAATTTTAGCACCACCAAAAAGAAGGGGGGAAAATAAGAAGGAAAAAAGAAATAAAACACTACTAGATTTGTCCACCAACCACAAGAAGAGAAATAAATTTGGGCTCTACACTAAGACAGTCAATGACAGAGGAAAAGGGAATTCCAAGGAAAGGAGCAAAGAGAAAAGCCAGGGTCTAGGAGGCGTGGCCTCTGCAGTGCTGCCCCAGAAGGACTTGAGGAAGGCCCATGCCAGTACCGCCACCAGGGAGCTCCTGCCAGGGTAATGACCCTAAATCATTTCATAATCTCTAAAAACACATCGTTCAGAACCAACTTCAAGAAGCAGATCATACCAGGTAATGCCATCTACCCTGGGACTGACCAGCCTTTCAGAGCCCCCAAGATGTCCTTGCACATTTCAGTAGAAGAGCCGCCCACACACGTTTGACATCTGGATGCACTCTTGGTGTCCAGAGGTGCACTGGCGAAGGTGGCCCGGGGGTCCGGGCCTGGCGTGCCAGCATCACGCTTCTGAGAAACCACCCCCTCTCCTCAAGCTGACGACCAGCCAGCTGAAGCCGGAACTTGCAGGAGAGGGGGCCCCATCCTTCACGCTCCCTCTCCCCCGTCCCACCCTAGCCAAGGCACACAGCAGGAACCAGGCCACAGAGAGCCAAATGACCCGAACGACTGAGTCCTGATTGCAGCTGTCCCTCGACTAGGGGTGACACCCAAGCCCCCATTTCCTTACACAGAAAAATGGAGATAACAACACAGCACTGATTAACACCTTGAAGCACTCACATGGGAGCAAAGTGTTTTGTGAGAAGCAAAGGCCTGCACACTTGAAGCACAATTAGTAGAATTACTATTTGTTGCCTCAGTGATAGCACCGGGCCTGCTCGCCCTGACCTGTCTTTGCATATATTGTGCTAGCGCCTCAAGATTGATGTCGTTTGGGCGGCCTGTTGGTATGAGCCTGTTTTTAAAAACTGTCAAGAGTATGACTCAAACAGAGAAATGCTCAAAATCTCTTCCAGAATGAAGCCAGGACTGCTGCAATGTCTGTCTCTGGTTCCCATCAGGGAGACAGAGCAGGTCCCTGCCCAGGGCCCCTCCCAGCCTTGGAGCCACATGACGGTGGGTGAGAAGCAAGACAGAGAACCTGGGGGAGGGGAGAGCCTCCTTTGCCTCTGCAGACAGACCCAGACCCCCAATGGGCAGTGCCTGCAACTGTCCCTCTGCCCAGTCCCACGAGCTCTTTGCAGGGGCTTCTGCATTTTCTGTCACCTGGGCTCTTCCCCCCACATTCCCGGCTACACCTTCTTTTACCCTGAATCCACTTCCACCTTTTTGTGGATTGTGAATAATTAACAGATGAGCATTTTAGGACCAGACAACTGGGAGCTGGTTTGGATTCAGGGCGCACCTAGGGGAGAGAAGTGGACACCAGGTGTGAAGAGCAGGAGTTGGGTTAGAATCCAGACCTTGTCACCAAGGACTCAGGGACATGAGGCTGCTCCTAACTCGCTGCTCAGTTTCTGGGTCAGTGAAGCGGGAGGGTGTTAGTTACTGGCAGGATCAATGGAGACAATGTATGTAAACACCATACAAATGCTTCTACACAAGGAGAGCTTCTGCCTCAGTTCCCCCAAAAGTCAATTATTAATGCAATTTCTTGTGGGGATAAAAAGAGAGGCAAAAAAATTCTGCCAGAAACTTGAATGTGAAGGACTAGTCTTGGGCATTAAATTTAACTAAAATTTTGAGGACATGAAGATAAAGAAACAAACCTGATATAACATACAGATCTCTTTGTATGCTAAGAGGGCAGCTACTTTGAAGTGAGAAATCTCTTCGCATCAAAGTCTGAGAAATGGGTCACTAAGAAAACACCCCTTCAGAGATGCCACAAACGTTAGAAGAAATCTTTCTCCCAGTTTTCCAGACAGTGAGGGGTAAGAAAGGGAAACACCATGAGTGTTCAGAACCAGGGTTCACTGTTATCTCAAACATGCCTGACTGTAAGTGCTACCAACTCCTCCACACCTTGGCAATAATGGAATGTTGTGTCAGCAGATCTTGAAGGGACCGGCATTTCTGGGCCAATTCTCAGCATGGGCGCTAAGCTGTGGTGCACCAACTCCCCGGTGAGGGAGGGAGGCCTCCAAGGTTAGCAGACAGAAGGTGAGGCCGAGGCTGCCCGTGAAGAGCCGTTGCTGCTGAGAGAAGGGCTGGGAACAGTTTTCCTCTTTGGGTACACTTCCAGAGCCACACATGCTGAGACACATTCTGACAACACATTCTGCCATGTGGTCCTGCACCACCCATGTGTACAGGAGGTGCTCAGCCTTTCTGGGAACACCAGCCCCACTCACAAGCCCCCTCTCCACATAAGACTCCTAGAGGCTCTTCTCCCACTGTGGCTTCACCCCTTCTTTCTGGGGTCATTCCACACGATCCCTGCCTGGGGACCAGCAGCAAGATGAGAGAAATGGGACAAAGCCACCCAAAAGAAAAGCTGATGACCTCGCTCCTGTGAATATGGAGCTACGCCTGCAGCAGCCTCTTTCATGTCCTGACTTTCTCTGTGGCCAAAACAGTCCGATCCACCTGTATTTTGCACAGAATTCCTACTGCTGCTCAGTTCCCAAGTGTAGACTCCCCCACCGCAATCATATCAACTAGCATTCCACCTGAACATATTTTTAAAGCTTCCTTCTCTCTGCCCTCCATTCAATAAAAGTGAAGTGTTCACTTTCTCCTTAGGGACATACATCAGATGGCAGACATCTCTGGAGAGTGAGGGTAGAAATTCCAGCAAGAATTTCTGGTTTTTCTAAGACTGATTCTTGTTCAAATGTTAAAACAAAGCAGTATTTCAAAAGAAAAGGGCTCTTGTTGTCCCTAAATAAATATAACCAATTTTTGATTCCCCAGAATTACCCTTCTATGTGGAAATGGGAAAAAAGAAGGGAAACATTAAAGTCAGCTACTTTACAACAGGACTGCAGCTGAGTGAGGAATTAGGGCCCTAGAGCACACCTTATAGGACTAGCACCCAGCCCTTCTGTTCACCGCAGCAGAAGGTAATTAGTACCCCAGAATCAAATCCAGACCTAGAACCAAAGAATTTCCTTGCTGGTCTAGGACAAGGCTGCTGTACTGCAGTGCACCTCACTCCTCACACCAGAATTCTGGCCCTTGACAAACGGAACCAAGGAATGAACCAGCCAAAGACACAGTCGGCCTCTACAGTGTCTACCCCCAAGCATCCGGGCCTTAGCAGTCCTTCATTTCCTTGAAAATCACTTTGTCTTAGTCCATCAGGGCTACTACAACAAGTACCATGGGCTGGGGCCAATAAATAGAAATGTGTTCCTCACAGTTATGAAGGCCTGAAGTCCAAGATCAGGGTCCCAGAGTGGTCAAGTTCTGGAGAAAGCCCTCTTCTGGGTTGCAGATTGCTAACTTCTTGCTGCGTCCTCACCAGGCAGAAGGGGCGAGAGAGCCTTCTGGGGTCTCTTTTTAATTACAGCACTAATCTCATTCAGGAGGGCTCCCCTCCCTCATAACCCAATCATCTCTCAGAGGCCCCATTTCCTCAAACCATCACACCGTGGGTCAGGAGTCCAATTTATGAATTCGGGGGGATATAAACATTCAGTCTACAGCAAACCTCTCATCCACTCATCACCAAGTCTTCCTTCATCTTTTTTAATAAAGTGGGTACACTACACATCTGGCAGACAGAAGCGACACCTGAGTCAGTAACTGGTACCTCCAAACAGAACCTGGAAGGAGAGGGGAGAAAAGCAGCACAGAAAGGCAGTGGTAGGAAAACCACTGAAAAGCAACCCCTGGCCTGTACTTCAGTTAACAGTGTTGTACCAGTGTCAGTTTCCTGGTTTTAATAATGTACTATGGT